CTTAGCTCCATTAAATCACTAGTTTTTATTCATTACACTAGATTGTCTTTTTACTCCAACATCTCATTAATCCATCTCTTAAAAGTCGTTATCTCCCTTTGTTCATACTGCTTTTATTTTCTCTTACCCCACCCTCTCCATCCCCAATTCTCTCTCTATCTCTCTCTCTCTCTCTCTCTCTCTCTCTCTCTTATATTTATGTCTATGTCTTTCCGTTTGTTCCCCGAGCTCCTAGCTTATACCTGTCTCCAACATTTTGTATAACTTTCTTCCTCTCTCTCTCTCTCTCTCTTAATTTCTTTTTCTTCTTTCACCTGTGTTCTAACTCTATTTGCCTCTCCCTCTCCTATATCTCAATCTTTGTATATATTGGTCCGTCTCTTTCTTTTTCTCTTCATATTTCTCTCGCCTTGTGCGTGTTATAAAATATATTAGCTGCTACAAAGTAGCTGTGAATATTTCTGTTTGGAAATAAAAATTAACTGACTTTAATGAGCCTCATAGAATATGAACGGTATCGCGCTATTGGATTTTTAAAAGTCTTGTTTTATTAAGCAATTTGTTCATCATGTATTTTAGCTTCATATAATAGAACAACCTTATTCACCATAATATATGCAATAAGCTAAATACACAGGATCCGTCTTCATAAAGGCCTAAATTCTACATCATATTTTGCTTTAATTCAATCCAAATTACTATTGAGATTTTCAAGACCTAAAAAAACAAATTATCTAGATGCGTGATGAATTACTGCGAATGTAACTGAATATTTCCATTACTTAACAACTAAAGTCGAACAAATCAAATATGTTCACTTATGGACATTCTCTACAGATTACATTCAATACATCAGTGAAACATATACAAACCTCAGTATTTATAACAAGGGGCCGACGGACTAAAATGGTACAATAATCAAGACGTGTCATTTTTTATTGTAATAAAGCAAATATTTTTGCAATAGTGCAAAAATTTAATAAACATATAAATTTATGAAGGAAAAGAATATTGTGAATCACATATTTGAAATACAACTTAATTTAAATAGAACATAGTTACTTAATAATGAAGAGATGGGCAATAAACGACATCAAAGGCACTGCATAGTTAATTACATGGGCATTGTTCTAGAAATATGTCATCATTGTTAACATTAACATTATATTATCTCTTTTTAAGTCTATTCGGTTCGTTGGTCCCATTTTTTGGAATACATTATCCCCCTTAATACGTAATACTCAATTTGGAAATTCTTTTAAAAATAAGTACAAGCGCTATTTACTGTCTCAGTATGTTTAAGTTAAAATGTTTAAATGCAATTTAGTATGTAACCGTCAGCTACCTGAAATTTATATAATGTTTTTCATTCTTTGTAATGGGTGTTGGGTTCTGGGATTCTGAATTTCATGTAGAATAAATAGAATATTTCCATTATCCTTAACCTGTATTGAAAAAGCAGAACAAATATACTTTTGGGAGCGTTAGAGAATGGCATAGTAAAGAATTTATTGTATCTCATGAAAACACTTTTGTTCTGCTCGCCTGGCGGTATTGCTATTTTTAGTCTCACCTGCATTGCCTTTTCTTTTGTGCAAATTCAAAGGATTTGCTTCGAATGTAGAGATATTTGAATGTTCTCATCGAGATCTATACATGTACGTCATTCATCAAACGTTTGCCGGTCAAAGTTGAAATCACAATTCACATATTGGAATAATCTCCAAGTTAAAGTTTCTTCTACCCCATGCAACCTTATTCCTACTATATAATTCGCTAGTTCTCCCGTATATAACTTATTGTAATAGTGTATGGGCAAATTGTGGTTCGACAAAAATCAATTCTATTTTCAAACTGCAAAAGAAAGCCATACGTATTTGTACAGGTTCGCATTTCTTAGCTCACACTGATCCTTTATTCTATAAACTTAAAACACTAAAAATTTTCGATCTGAACACTACTCAAGTAGCAGTTATTATGTTTAAGTACATTAATAATCTGCTTCCACCATCCTTTGATAACATGTTTAGGTTTAATAATTCCGTTCATTCATACTCTACTCGCATATCTGGAAACTTCCATCTTACAAACCCCAAATTATCAATAACACACAAATCTGTTAGACATTCTGGCCCGGACATTTGGAATGATTTACCCGACAACATAAAGTCTTGTTCAACCATCTACTCCTTAAAAGCTACACTTAAACGACAAATAATACAATCATACGCTCCCCCTCTCTAAATTAGTATAACAAAACCGTGACTTATTTATTCTTTATCATGCAACTGCTCACTGCACCTGCACTTGCACCGCACCCTCTTGGTCACTCAGTTTTTCGAAGAGAGTTATGTCGCCAATTCTTTTTACGAGGCCGCCATCCATCTCCAGCCTAACCGCTCACGATGGCGGTCTCCTGCGTTCCAAATTACCTCTCTAATTTATTGAAAATATTTCATATTTCTTATGTTATTGTATGCTTCGTACATGTTTATCGAATGATATAATTGAACATGATTTTTCATTTAATTACTTTTGTAAACATTGTATTCATTGTATTTGTTATTGTTCGAAATGTTGTACTTTGAATTTGAATTTGTATATTTTTGAACGCAGAAATAAAATCAATCAAACAAACAAACAAACATATTACTACATGCGGCGTCGAGAAAGCATATGGAAGATTAGTTATTTAATTTTGAAGTATGTATGTAGAGGGGGATCAGCAGACAGACAAGCAGACAGACACAGAAAGAAAATGGTGAAGAATGAAGAGTGGTAAACTGTCACAAATACATTAGAGATTGTTAAAGTATAAGATGTTTATCATTCGAAGTATTAAACAAAAGTAATGGAATGATCTGTGTTGCAATTCAACAAGTGAGCGTTGTGTCATTAGTTTTCACACAAAAAAGTGCCAGACAAAAAGAACGGTTTGCACGTGACGACCCTGTATTCCTCGAGTTACATGAGATAAAGCCATCTATGTGAATAGGGTCTATCATAAAATGGATATTTTAAAGTGACTTGGTAACATTGTTGAAGGTTGATGAAAACATTGCTTAATTTTTGTATATAATGTTACGTACTTCTTCTACTGTACTAACCCTCTGACAGGCAAAAAATCCTGAAATATTCTCAAACCACGAAGATATCTATGGTTTTCTTTGAAAAGGTCGATGTATGACACCCTTTAACAGTGATTAATAGTAAATTCTCCCAACCATTTTTGAATTTTACCAACCGTTTTTCAATGAAAAAAAAAGACATAAAACAGGCTATATAAAAATCTGTCAACACTTAATGTCTGGAATGGGATGTAGAGCCATTTTATTGATTTGTGACGATTTTCATTCGCCTAAAATGTAATTAAATTGTAATAATATAGTTGGGAGAATTATGGAATCAATCAGATCAGTTTTTCCCTATTTGTACCATGAATAATGGTCCGTTTTCACTCAAAATTTCAGATTATCTTTTATTGTACACCTAGCATTGAAGTCATTACCTTAGCACCACTATCTCTCATCTTAACAATGTTACCAAGTCCCTTAAAGTTTTTTCTGACCCAGTGGCGTGCAGTCAGGACGTTTAATTTTTAGGCCAAAGAGGGTGAGTACCAGCTAAAATGAAAAGTGTTTCCGTGATCTCTTTCTTTCTCTCTCTCTCTCTCTCTCTCTCTCTATCTCTCTTCACTTCCCCTCCCCCCCCCCCCTCTCTCTCTCTCTCTCTCTCTCTCTCTCTCTCTCTCTCTCTCTTTCCCCCACTCTTCGCCTCCCTTGACATTTCTCTTAGCTCCATTAAATCACTAGTTTTTATTCATTACACTAGATTGTCTTCTTACTCCAACATCTTATTAATCAATCTCTTAAAAGTCGTTATCTCCCTTCGTTCATACTGCTTTTATTTTCTCTTACCCCACCCTCTCCATCCCCAATTCTCTCTCTATCTCTCTCTCTCTCTCTCTCTCTGTCTCTATCTCTCTCTCTCTCTCTTTCTCTCTCCCTCTCTCTCTCTCTCTCTCTCTCTTCTATTTATGTCTATGTCTTTCCGTTTGTTCCCCGAGCTCCTAGCTTATATCTGTCTCCAAAATTTTGTATAACTTTCTTCCTCTCTCTCTCTCTCTCTTTATTTCTTTCTTCTTTCACCTGTGTTCTAACTCTATTTGCCTCTCCCTCTCCTATCTCTCAATCTTTGTATACATTGGTCCGTCTCTTTCTTTTTCTCTTCATATTTCTCTCGCCTTGTGCGTGTTATAAAATATATCAGCTGCTACAAAGTAGCTGTGAATATTTCAGTTTGGAAATAAAAATTAACTGACTTTAATGAGCCTCATAGAATATGAACGGTATAGCGCTATTGGATTTTTAAAAGTCTTGTTTTAATAAGCAATTTGTTCATGATGTATTTTAGCTTCATATAATAGAACAACCTTATTCACCATCTATGCAATAAGCTAAATACACAGGATCCGTCATCATAAAGGCCTAAATTCTACATCATATTTTGCTTTAATTCAATCCAAATTACTATTGAGATTTTCAAGACCTAAAAAAACAAATTATCTAGATGCGTGATGAATTACTGCGAATGTAACTGAATATTTCCATTACTAAAGAACTAAAGTCGAACAAATCAAATATTTTCACTTATAGACATTGTCTACAGATTACATTCAATACATCAGTGAAACATATACAAACCTCAGCATTTAAAACAAGGGGCCGATGGACTAAAACGATACAATAATCAAGATGTGTCATTTTGTTAATGTAAATCGCTAAATAAAAGATGATATAAATGATAGACCATAATTAGGAAAATATTTTTGCAATAGTGCAAATTTCATAGCAAATTCAATATACAAAGTAATTTATGAACACACACAAATATCGTGAATCACATATTGAAATACAACTTAGATTGAATGGAACATACTTAACAATTAAGAGATGGGCAATAAACGCCATTAAAGGCCCTGCATAGATAATAAAATGGGCATTGTTCTAGAAATATGTCATCATTGTTAACATTAACATTATATTACATAAAACTGGAGTCATCGTGTTTGATTTGCTGTATGCTTATTTATTATATTACTGTGGTAGTTCTTATCTGCAGCAAGTTTTATGAAAAATTGTTAATGTATGTGACAACTATACAGACAGTAGGGCAATTTTGTAAACGTTTTGCATGCATAATATAAGGGAAGTCGGAGAAGAGACGATGTCTGGATTCGAACCCGGTCAGCCTAGAGTACTCTTTCCAAAACCACGGCACCTCCATAAAACTGTAAAAAAAACTATACAGCTATACTGAATAAACATTTTAAGTTTACTGATCAAAGTCCTAACTGAAGCAAGATACATGTATATACAGCAATAACAATAATTTATAATGTTTGTTTGTTTTTAATTCTCCATACTACCGTCTATTTTCCGAAAAGGAAACATTTTATTTTAAACGTTGTGGTCTTGTTTAGATCAATTACCGTCCTCCTCAGCTTGCAGGATATCCATGACCATAGTACAATTACTTGCCTCCAGGTTAAAATTAGATGGATATTGTTGATCTAGTTGCGGATTAGCGTTGATATAAGTATGATCGGCAGGGCTGGATTTCTTGAAGAACACATCAGGAACCGAGGATTGAACACAGCCCTAGAAAAAGCCGAGAGATGACAGAAAATGTGCTGATTAATTATTTCGTTAAATGAACGGTACATCCATACTTCATCTTTATCATGTTTATCCTTCCTCCACTCAGGAGGTTGAGCACTAACTGCAGGAGGCGATTCTTGTGTGGTTACAACACTACATCAAATCTATGATAAATATGGTGTCGCCAATTTATCAAAGCTATAATAGATGCGGTGTCGCTAATATATTTGAAGACTTGAAAAATCAATTGTTATTTTCTTTAGAAATACTTTATCTTCACCCAATTACTAATCATTTACCCCATATACAAGTGCATCTTGTCAAGTGAATAACAATTGAACTAGAATGTGAGCGAAACATGATTTAAATTATAGCGAAATATAATCGTCTCACCCACGTGACTGAATGGTTTCGTATCATAAATTATATGTCATTCTGCAATGTGTGTTATTCCTTCATTCTGTTCCGTATCAACCCATTGCATCTTAACTGGGTGTAATGCAGTGTGTACCCGTGTTTCATAATAAATTAGCCACATGATTATTAGCAAAAGACACTCTAATCTTAAACTGTCCACTCTAAATCCATGCAGGTGGGGTAAAAAGAAACTCTGTACGCAGAATTTCTTTCATGCATTAGCGCCTTGCCATTGAAACATAGCGGGTTCAAAATAAAAATTGATATTTTGCATCATCAGTAAAAGGGGCAACAACTTTTAAGAAAAACAACTCAAGAGGACCTTAAATACCCTATCATAATATCCCATAGAAATCATGTTCAGAATACGAAATACGTCATTGTATCGTTTGTACATTTCAATAAGCGATCGACAAGGCTATTAAAACTGTTAAATGCTTTAATATCTTCTGAAAGTCTTTTCAATCGTGTTGATAGGTTAGCATACCTCAGGAGGTTTGACGTCAAGGTTGTGCTCTGGAGCAGCAGCCCGTCTTTTAACCTTGTATTCCTCACGATGAATGCGAATAAGGTTAAAGCAGAACACGGTCACAACGAGTAGGATTACTATGGCAACGGATGAAACTAGGCCGATGAAAAGACTCCTCTTGTCAAGACCTGTTCCTGTCATCAGGGAGAGAAGAGAAACAACACGTGCTTAAAGCCCCTATGGCATACAGGGATTAGACCTCCTTGCGAGGTCATCATAGGGGGTCAACGGGTACCGCTTAGGCATTGTTGGCAGTATAGAGGGCGCAAGTAGATTTTAAAGGTATTACAAAGTTTGGTATGGGGTCATGAATTTGGTTCAAATTAACTTATTGGAAGCATATACGTTCCTAGAATATTCATTGATCATTGTCCCGTTTGAAATCGAGTCTAAAGTCATAAAATTGTAAATAATAAACTCTTTATGTTGTATAGCGCCCTCTCAAGGTCAAGATATTAATTAAGCTGTGGCGTGCGCCTGTAATCCAGCTAACAGTGGAAGTTACAAACTGATTCAGCCGAGAACGCAGGTTCGAAACTGAGTCACGTCTTTCGGATGGTGACGTTAAAAGTCGGTCCCTAGACGTAAATAATCATATCTGATTGATACACGTCTGTAAAAACCCAAATACACACACACACACAATAAAGCAATGTTTCATGACTAAAACCGACCGATTAGCTATTCCCCTTTGGAAATTATATATCACAACTACACATGCTGAGATTGTCATGGTCGCAGCTACCATTGTACGGCCGTAGGCGCTATTTGAAATATATTTAAAATTTACCGGGAGCACCGGTAAATTTTTATATTCAATTTTTTCTCGAAAATAGAAGTGTTTTAGGGGTTAATTTTGTTAGTGCTTATAATACATCCACAGGGGCATCCAAATATATCAAAATTGTAAAGATTCACTATCCACCCAATTTTCAAAATTTCCCAAAACTTTGTACTACCTTCAAGTAGTGCAGTGGGGACTTAAATTAAATCGAAAACTGTCAGATGTACCTAGACAATTAACAAATGTATATTTTGATCAATGGTAAAATTTAAATATTTATATTGATGTCCACTATAATTCCAAACAATTATTCTTGTTTACGAAGTTTTTTTCAAACAAATCCTGAGAAGGCAATACTCATTAACATTAAAATTTATTTGCATGTGTATTGTACGTTTCTGTTAGAGAAGACAATGTGAATATCTTTGTGAGAACGCCGTCATATTTGTTACATGCTAACGTAAGAATTTACATTGGAAACAGCAAATAACAGACATGAAAGACGGATGCCTACCTGGTACTTGGTCTGTTCCTGGTGCGTTGGTTGAATAGGTATCTATCAAACGGTAAGAAGATGTAAACAAGATAATACAAAGATAAATAGAGAATATATGTCTGGTGCACATGAGAGGGTAACAAACAAGCAAGTGTAGATAATTGGATGGTGTGTATTTCATTATTGTTTAAAATCTATTTCACAGATAAGGTTATGAGCAGAACCAGCGCCATATATCGACGCCCCTCATGGAAGGGTTGTTGAAATCTAAAATAAATCTCGAATACGTCTTCTAAAAACATAATTGTACACGTTTTGGGGTTAATAGTCTGCAAAGTAGTTAAGTTACTCATGAGGCAATGTTGAAATTGTTGAAAGCTGAAATTCTCTAAAACACGAGATCTAGGCTCAGAGTACATCTCTTGAGACTGAATCGCTGATGCTGAGTCTGCCATGGTGCCGAGCTAGGCCGAGCCCGTTCATAGGGATTTTAATAATCACCTTCCACGCAGTAGCGTCCAGGCAATGATTCCGGAAAGATGTCCATATAGCCCTCCATACACATACAGATATAGCCGATTCCATCCCCATCCATACATACAGCATTCACGGAACAGTCGTTGAGCTCGGGAGCTTCACACAGATTGATGGTGGTAATCTCTATTAAGATGAAAGACGAAACATATGAGGAATTGGAGACGCCAATGACATCAAACCCTGTAGCAGAAACCCTGCTTCAATAAAGTCATAATGGAGGAAATCAAGAAAATGCATCATCTGGGTTTTATATTCCGATGCAATATCATGTAGAATTGAGAGATTTGATAAATTCAAACAAATATGCAGCCGTCGTCAATAAGTAGAAGTAATGACCTCTCGTTATTTAAAAATTGAGTACATTAATGCATATTATGGTAAAGATATTTGTTCTGTATTTTGCTAGTCTCAATGTTCAGATACTGAAACAATATTATAGAGATAATAACATTTGAATATTTATAAATGCTGTTTATTTTCCCTTTTTACATGTCTATCTTAATTTCTTTTAAAGCGGAACAAAAATAGTATTGTTTGTTTGTTTGTTTATTTTATTTTAACACGGTGGGATACTTTAGCCAATGGCTGTTCTTCAGCATGGCCGTGCATAACAAGAAGAGTCATACCATGAACAGTGACAGAGTTTCTCCGAATTAGCAATTCGCGGGTATCATCAGCGAAGCGAGGTGAAGTTTCATTTGGCTGTAGGACCTTTTTCAGGTCGGACTCGGAACCATGAAAGTCTTGGCCCACGTATACTATTATCTCACACATCAGACTACCCTGGAAAAAGCCGCCGACATCTACACTGATGACGCCTGGCATCCCACCGGACTCAAATGCTAGAGGTAACTGCAGAATGGTGGGTAGAAAATCACGTTTCCCGTTTAAAAAAATATATATGTATATTGTCTCATCGTAGAGATTTTTCCTTCTTATTTATTAATTTTACTTTTAAAAACGTTACAAGATACCAATGTCTGTGGGCTTTATGTTCTATTTGCTCATTTGCAGCAGAACAGGACATGATAGACAAACATACAAAGCTAATCAATTGGGCAGTAATGCCTATGTGGTCTTTATCTTCGTTTGTCGTTCGATTCATATAGTTTGCTTACAGTGGTTGTAAAAAACGTGAGCAATCAATTTTCGGTGGATAATGTATGATCGAAAATGTTCTTAAGGGAAAATATAATTTGTTTTTAGTACAGTGCGTATGGGAGGTAAACGTCGCAACAGAGTTGCCAATCAAATATTCATAGCTTTCTCATTTTTTAATCGGTTTTTGCTCAAACTGTCACTGAGTTGTTTATCTCATTCTTTTGCTTCTATTAAAATCAATTTAATATCAGGGTGGACGTCCCTTAAAAGCATGTGAAGTACTCTTAGAGCAATTCTAAATGGTGCCGTGCATGATCATACTCACTAGACCAGTGACTGCGTCGGATCCATTCTGAAAAGCGAGGCTAGTGGGATCAGCGAACGAAGGATTGAAGTCCACCGGAGACCCACTGAGTTCATCAATAGTGAACACCGAGACAAAAGCTCTACTTCCTTTGAGGTACCAAAAATGGATCAAGTGAAAGGTATAGGATAAATAGGAACAGTATTAAGATTCGAAGGAAAAAGTCATCCCTGATCCCCATTACAAGTGATTCTAAATAATTAATATAATTCATAAATAACCATGATACGACATGAGTAGGAAAATTTCAGAGAGATACGTATCGCATAATACCTGTGAAGAGTTACACTAATTATTACTTACTTATATGTGCAATGATACATTTTTACACTATTTTATATTTATAGTAATGTGTGTAAACACTATACACTGCATGCTTTTCGTAGACATACAGATGGAAACTTATATTCACTAAAACCTCTATAAAAACATGAATCTTTACCAGACTTACCATAGAAAGCTGCAATATGCAATGATAGACTTAAAGTTAGACTTCAGAAGATAGCTTAAGAAGCCATTGCGCGTGTCTCCCCCCCCCCCCCCCCACACACACACATCCCTTTACAACTTACTAAGAATACAGAGTCCAGTCCAGAAGCTTCTCTCTCTTTCTGGTCTACAGTGACATTCAAAGCCTCTCAAGGTCTCTAAACATATCTCAGTGACGAAATCGCAAGACGGAGAACAAGAGCCTATCAAATTCAAAATCACAGATAGCTATTTTTATCAATACGTAAAGATCATAAATTATTCTCTCTTTGTGGTGAGATTTTGACTGTACAAATGAATATAATCATGAGGAGAAACAAAAGCAAATGGAATTTGTTGACCAAAGAAACAGATAATTAGCTCTGATACGAATATGAACTGATGGTTATCTTTTTCTTATAAGAGAATAAAAAGTCATTATTATTACCCCTAATAGGTATCCCATAGCCTAAATTATACACGTTACACAACGAGCCTTGACATCTAGACAATCAGATGATAATCCAAGTATTCTGAAGCCATGACGCTTTGATTTAGATAAAATTATGGATCAACCATCTACCAAGTATCATTAGTATATCGAAGTTATTCATCTTGTACTTGTGAATTTACATTGTCGCTGGCTTCGTAAGTGGAAGAAGTAAGATAAGGCTTTTAAAAGCAATCAATACCCGTTTATGTTAATTTATTATACATATCAATATATTTCAATGTGATAACACTTTTCTAAGCTGTGTATTTATCGGCTATCAAAAAAATGAACTTTTTTTTTCTTTCACTACTTTTATTACAAAGTACGTAGTGCTTGCTCCACGAAATCAATAACTTCAAATTCATAATAATTAATTTCTACTTACTTTGGCACAATCCTGCTTCAAGTATGAAACCATCGAGGCACGTACATTGTTCATTGACACACACCTGAGAAGAACCACATGAGACTCCACCGCATGATAAATCTTGAAAAAAAGGAAATTACAGAAATCCTTTATTAAAATGAAAACAAATTAATGATGCTAAGGTCATCTTAAAACACGTATTCCATGGACGGGAATAGCCTCACAATTGGTACAGATTATAATTCAAGCAACATGAATGGTAATCAAATCCAAATCGAACCCACATTAGAATTTGCATAGCGCTGCATCTATAGTTTCCTTTTCAGAGGCGCTCTGAGACCAAAGAATTGTATTCGTACCATACTGCAATTAACATCATTCGATAAGATTTCGGAAAATCTTCGCAATGAATGATGGTAATTCCAAAATATAAGCCTAAAACGATTCTAAATAAGAATTGAAACAATTATTGTGTATGTACGTTTCAATGACCTAAGACAATGCATTCCTCACTTTTGTTCTGTTGTTCGGCAACTTCTTCCAAGAACATGATATGAATCCCGAATGAAATTAGTACACTATTAAAAAGAATTTGCTTTTAATATCTGTCCTTACCTATTTCACAGACAGGCCCTGTAAATCCTACAGGGCATGCACACGTCAAACGGTTGACATCTGCAAGACATGTACCTCCATTCTGACAAAGATCAGCCGTGCAGGCAATAGTAGTAGATGCTGTCCATAAAAACACAAGAAAGTATCATGATTGACCCCCAATTCACATCAACTGTGGAACATGCCATCGTTAGATTAGATACTGAATAAGGTACGACGAATTATGTGACATTTCGTCGGGTTGAAGAAAAAAAAACATGACAATGATGCACTTTCTAAAAATTGACGTTTCTAATAGTCATGGTATATGCCTAGCGCTTCCCTTTGGCGAGAGAAAATTTCGAATGTCTTTTTCCAAAACATTATTAAGTTACAATGGATATATTCATTACAATAAAACCACGATGTGGATATGTGTTCTTACCTTTATAAATAATCAGTAATATAAGATAATAATGCAAACAGTTTTATTTAAAGAATGTTTTTGTAAATTTCTTTAAAAAAAACTGGATATGTGTTCATACCTTGACATGTCCCATCAGGCATGAGTTGAAATCCGCCATTACAAACACACATGAAGGACCCCACATTGTTGAGACAGAAACTATTCGGATCCTCACACATCAAACCGTTGCTGCATTCGTTCAAATCTATAAATGAAAACAATTATTCGAAATTATTGGAATCTATTATCATTTAGAACCTCATACAGTTCCAGTTAGAAACAAAATACGAGGGTGTTTGGAAGGATATTTCAAGCTGATAGAATTCTAATAGATCTGTATTTGGAAGATAATCTTATGAAGTATAATATAGATTTGTTGTGTTCTGTCAGGTGCTGGTTCAAAATGTATACATGAGATACGTGCTAATTAGGTATACTTTATAGGTTTTCACTTCCATGATTACAGGGATATGAAATCCTGGTCTAAGATCTTCGATATATATTAAAGATTTGCAAATATATTCCTTGATAATTTTATTTATAATAGTTTCAACCTTTCCATCTTGTATAGATCATACTTACCCTCTTAGGTGAAAACAGGTTATATATAAGAGTATCACATGCCCTCCGGTCACTTTTTTAAAAACTTTTCTTATAAATGAAGGATCTCATTTGGATTTTTATTTCGGTTATCAAATTTAAATCAAAACATGCCAAGAAGGCCTAGATTAACCTATAACCAGACGAAGATACACAACTGACAGTGCAAATGGTGAAATCGAAAGATGTTCATATAATATTTCGGTTATCACAATTTAATCAGAACATGCTAAGAAGGCCTAGATTAACCTATAACCAGACGAAGATACGCAAATGACAGTGCAAATGGTGAGATCGAAAGATGTTCACATATCTAGACTACCTTCACAGGTCGGGAACGTTCCATCAAGTGTTCCATTAGGTTGGCAGGATAATGTAGTCTGGCCCCTGATGATAAAGCCCAGATCACAGCGGTATGTACAGCTATGGCCAAAATCGATGATTGAAGGTCCGTTACACAATCCATCAAAGGAATTGAGGGCATCAGGCATTGGAGGTATAACGCACTGGATCGCTGTGAACAGACGTAATCAGGTTATTTAGATATGTTTAAACTAAAGTGTTCTTATGGATGCCAGGGCCCTGTCTTACAAAGAGTTGATATCAACCGCAAGTATGTACATAAGAGATAGGAGACTGCAAACTTGCGATTGATTGGAGGACTTACGATCGATTCGGATCAATCGCAACTCTTTGTAAGACGGGCCCCAGGTCTTTAAATTACCCCCCAAAATAAATTGCTCACAAAATATCCCCATCAAGCTACGCTTCATGCAACGTTCCTTCCCGGCAATTTTGCGTGATAGACGTAGTATATTTCCCTGCGTTATACTGCGAGCTTTCCTTGCAAAAGTTATAATAATTTTCATTGCGAATAAGCCCTTACCTTTTACGATCGACAGATTTGAGCAAATCAGTGCTGATCGTAGTCGAATCGATTTAGAATATTAGCTATATAAAATTACTATGTTTTGTAATTCTAAAGAATTGTGAGCGTTACCGAACGAGCTTCATGTTGTTGATCTAGTTAAATATTTACCCCTATCATTTGTTACAAGAAAACCAATTCAATCGTCCGGAAGATATGAAGGTTGATGTAAAAAAAACTTTACTTTAATCCGACCCTTACATTGTTGTTTGAATCGAATCATTTCTCTCTTTCCTATTCATATAAAATAAGAAAGTTTATTGACATAAATCCTACCCCAATAGTATAATCATCAAAACAAAACGAAACTCAATAGTACAATATTATTTCATCTCACCCGTTTCACAGAAAGCACCGAGATATCCGACATCACATTGGCAGGAAAAGCTCGAGAAATCATTCAGACACTGCCCTCCATTCAGACAGGGTGATGAAGCGCAGGTATCAGGGGCTAGTGAGATGAGAAGTTAATGATCAACACAGGTAATAACGGTTATGTCTCTGAGGCTACTTCACATCCAGTGGATTGAAAGTTTGCTTTAATAAACCAAGGTATTACTACCATTTCGTGTAGAATTTTTTTTTCTTCTTCAAATATGGGAAAGATATACGCTTTATTTTATTGGTACTTTTAAAAGCTATATTTTTATTTCAATAAATCACGTATCTGAAACGGATAGTTCTGAATTGGAAAACTAATAGTTTGAACTCTTTCAAACATATTACGGAATGGTGGATTCTTACACTAAGTATTGCTCGTATATGTTTCCGTTCCAAACTTGGAAAAATTAGGTAAATTGTTCTGACTGGGTTGAGACGTTGACATTTCTCGTACCTGTAAGGGTTGACGCAGATCCAAGATTCACCTCACCCGACTGTCCAAAACCCCTCACCGAAAATTCATACGTGGTATTATGCATTAGACCAGAGATCGTAGCAAAAGAGTCAAACGACTGGCCAACATTGCTACTGACCCCATCAGTGTAGTTGATCGTGTACACCAGAGCGCCTGGGAGAGGGTCCCAAGTGAGGACGATAGTATCTGTTGTTCTGGAGATAACTGCAACTGTTGATTCAATTTCTGTAACAATGTCATATATAAATTGCACTTGTTAGTATTGTAAGATAGTTTACAACGCAGTCAGAACTATAGGCGTGTTGGTACAGAAAGGTATTGCAAAATAAATGGCACAGGAAAATATGACACGTCTTTATACGTTCAGTTGCGAGTGTTTGGAATGTAACGAATTGTGCACTGAAAATAATTGCTTTTTACCGGAATTAAACAAAACAAAAATGAGAAAGCTTACCAATATTTTGATTTCTTTTGCACTATTCGTTATTCTTTCAACAGAACAAAGACTAATACAATTATACATAATGGACCACAAGGTTTTTTTTTAATTATAACTTATATGTTAAGGCATTTTTATTACATCATTTCAAAATCATTCCATAATTTTAATAATGAGGAAACAAACCTAAAGACCAGGTGTAGTCAAAAATTAATATCTGATGTTTCCTGGAAACCTTTTGAAGTACAGCTTGTACAGAAAATGGCATAAAACACTAAACGAACATCCATTACCCGTTAAGACTGTTACAGATCCCACTTCAACTTGTCCAGCGGATGTGAAAGCGAGGACCGTGATATTGTAGGCGGTAGACGAGGCCAGACCCTCGATGATTGCAGTATTTGTAATGGACCCAAACTGTCCACCAGGCCCATTCTGGTCCCGATAGGCGACCTGGTAAAAGAAGCTATCAGGGATATTGGTCCAGGAGAGCCTGATCGCATTGAACGTTACCTCATCAACCAACACTTCCGAGGAAAATGCTGTAATTGGCGTGAAAAGTTTGAAAGAAGTATACAGATATATGCTTTGGTAAATGATCGTCTGAACTTACAATCAAATTCGTGACATTATGCGTTAAATAGAATGCGATCGAAAGGAAATGTCAACATGATCCACATAGCAGCGAAAGTGGTGGCATTATCGTCAAACGGATACTTTTCTTACTTCGAAGAGACGGGCAGTTTAAGAGAGATTGGTATTGATAAAAGGGTAACAATTTTCCACGAGCGAGAGTTTGGGACAGTTTTTCAAGAACATTTTGTCTATAGTTCTTGTAGAACAAAGAAATCTGTCAAGGCCAATTTAATAAAGAAAGAGTGCGTTTCACTCATCAGGGAAGAAAGACATCACTAGACATGAATATAAATGATATTATTGATTTCTGTCCGGCTTAACCTCATTGGATTCAGAAATTCGAGGTCACACATAGAAAACGAATTTACTTATATTACGTTAAAACGTATTTTGTTTTCTACCTTATACTGCCACGCCATCAACGTCCTTCGGCAACACAAATATCTACAACCGGTACTTTCGCTGATACCCCATGATTCATGTAAAATAAAGATTTATTATCTTGAAACCGTATCATTAAAGCTCGACTAAGACCAAGGTAATAGCACAACAATTTGTTCAATATCTGGAGTGGAGTATGTGTGTATAGTCTGTTATACTCTGAACAAAATGATCCACATGAAGAAACATATATATTTATTTATATATATCACCGAATTACTTCTTACTTGTAGTACCAACAGCAGTTCCCACATTGGTCAGAGGTGTAGTGGCTGCTACCACAGCAAATGTATACGTTGTACCTGATTGGAGATCAGGCACGGTAGCTGTGGTAGTAGGTGAGGATAGTGTGAAGGTTCCTGTGTCTCCAACATCTTGGCTGATGTAAGATATCACATAGCCGGTAGCTGTCGGGACAGCAGCCCATGAAAGGGTCGCTGTAGTAGAATCTGTGTTTACCACACTCACGGTTGAACCCGACAAAACATCTGAGAGAACAATATTTCTGGATTAATGTTTGAATGAAAAGTGAAGTCATATTGTAGTGAAAGGTACTTTTCATGGTCATTTAAAGTCAAGGATGGTCACTCAACATAAGAATGTGAACTCCTACTCATACTAAATCCGCAGTAGTTTTCATTAGTTTCCTTTCGGAGTGGAATTATATAGATTTTGTTTGAATAAAACTGCAGTTTATGACTAATACCCCATTCAAATAGTAAAACAATACAAGAGCGATAAAAGACGAGGAAAAAATTACACTGTACCGAATTACCATGATCAAGAAACCATGCGTTTGGTAACGGTTTGATGGTATGTCTGTGGTATAAGTCTTACTTGTTTTTGCTAGATCCCATCCGACAACGTAAGACAATTGTGAGGATGCAGAAACGGTCTCGACAATAGCTACGTACACGGTGTCGGCAGTTAGATTTTGGAAGACTACGGACATATTCTCGACGCCGGCAGTCCTGGTATGTTCCTCCGTGCCACCCTCGTTGAATAGATGAACCACATAAGACTGTGCGTAGACTTGCGGGATAGTCCAGTAAACTTCCAGTTCCCGGGCTGTTACCGCCCCAACGCTTACATTGGCTGACGAACCTGCACAAAGTGTGGGTTAATTATTTATTTGTTTTTATAATTTAATTATCTTATCGTAATGGCTTTGCTTCTTGAAAGACAAACTTGGCAGATGCTACAAAGTGATATATCTATTTTATAAAGTCAAGAATGAAGGCATGCAGGACCACTTGACTGTCATATCTCGACACCTCATAATAACATGTATATCTAATTGTTGGCTCAATATTATAATGCATCTTGGTATAATTGTGAATCTCCTGGTATCCTATTGAGTACGAGAAATAAATAGATAACGGCAGAAATAGGGTTATACTCACCAAGAGTGATAATAGGGAATTCTGCGAATAGACTTGTAGTAGTTTGACCGATGGTGGTGAGTACTGTGAAGTCGTACGCCACACCGTCCTGTAGGCCATCTATAACATGGCTTCCAACTGCAGACGGAAGGGCAGTCTGAACGACAGGCCCAGGAGAAAGGTCCTGGTAAGCTACCCGGTAGCCCTCGAAGTAGTTGTCAGGAGAAGAGGGAGGATCCCATCTTAAGAAAGAGATTGCATTGCTCAGAGTGTACAGGATAATGTTCTCTGGCGGCTTGGGTCCTATGCGAGATCAATCATTTCAAATGTCAGTCTTTCGGTAATCATCATGGAATTGCGGGAAGACATCACAAACATATAATTTAAGATGTTGCATTTATTGGTTTTTCCATTTAGCTTGATTATAACTTTATTTCTGAAACACAAATAAAATACATTGAATATTTCTTAACATGAAAACTTTGGCTTTGTTTTAATTTGGTTCACAGTAAAGCAAATATTTCAATATGTTTTTATAAAAGTCAATAGATAAGCATTTCTTCATCAACTTACGAGTGTAAAACATTTCTAATGCAAACTGATTTCTAATCAGACCGACTATGACGTCGACGTCTACTGTATACTTGGTACCAGGCTGAAGTCCCGTGAATTGATAAGTGAGTGTTGGTTCAGGAGCTAATGGTTGCTCCGGGAATACTTCAGTCGTTCCAGTTTCATCAAAGAGAGTAAGGACGTATGACACAATATTCTGTGAAGGATCATTTTCCCAAGTCAACGTGATGAAGTCTGTCCCCAGATCAGACACATCAAGTGATGTGCCGAGAGGAACTATATATGGAAGAGATGAAAGGTAATGATAATATTATCACTATTAATATTACAATCTTCCCCTCAAAAAATTTGGGATTGGATATTTAATTTCAAATCAAAGTGCTTTCATTTCTTCTATTCACTTTAAAATTTATACAGACAATATCTACGATATATTACAAACTTTAAATGAAAATAATCAAGAGAATGAGAAAGAAAATATCACTTGTGTCGAAAAATTAACTTATTTTCAGTCATATACATAAGTTAAATGAGTGTATGAAGATATGAGTAATTTCTTTTAAAGAGATAATATGCTATTTTGTTAGGGCAATACATTGACACGTTAGATGCAAGAAGCACGAGGTAAGATTTTTTGTTTAACGAGATAACTATAACATCATGATATAATATGTGATGAGACGTATTTTGTATCTTATGCAATGCACTTGTTTTCTTACAAGTAGTCTTTGATGTAATATACTATCAATACATGTTACAATGAGAAGATGAACAACTATCAATTACTTCGACCACAAAGACTTTCAAGAAACCAACTCCAAGACCAATTTCAATGCCGTATATTACTGCCAAAGAAAACATGTTCGGATATTTGTGTCAAAATAGATGACACATTAGGCTACTGAATTAGTAGGATTCGGGGGAGGAAACTGTGCGATCGTGTTCATTAAAACTTATGTTCCACTGGATGTATTCTATCTAATGGCCCGGTCCCACTGGCCGATGGACACAAAACGTATGCATAAAGGACACAGCGGACGAGCAAAATTTCGCGGTTGGCTCCATCCGTTTCATCCGCTCCAGAAATGGACAAAATTTGCGAAAACAGAACGGAAAATAACGGACGTTGGTAGTATGTAGCGGGGATGTTAAACGGATGTTCATCAGAAGCCTAGCGGATGAAAGCGGATGGAAGTGGATGATAGCTTTGAATACTTTATATACGAGATGCATACGCTTACATCCTTTCTATTTCCGTGCTACTAACGATATATATACGTTCCATGTACCTTATCTTTTCTCCCTCTTTCCGTTTTCAGCTGCAGCGGATGTGAGTTGCGATGATGCCCAGAGGATGCAGAGAGGATACAGCGGACGTTTAACGGATGATAACGGACATAGAACGTTTGTTGCTCGTATTTGTCGCGGATTTACATCGTACACGGCGGAAGTTCATCCGTTCTAAAAGTTTTGTGCAGCTCAAAACTTTTTGCGCGGATGAAATCACAGTGGACGGATGCTCGATGGATAGAGCGTATGAAACACGTATGCGATGAGTACACAACGGATGCATAGCGTTTTCCAACGGATGGCAAGTTTTGTTTACGTTTTACATCCTCTTTGCATCCGTAAGTGCAGTGGGACCGGGCCTTAAACTGTGTTTAGGGCATCCAAAAACATATCTTACAAAATACATACTTAGTTCACATTGAGTTCCAGTGAAGCCTTCACGACAAATGCATGTGAATACATTTGAAATTGCGACACACGTCCCAAGGTTTTGACAAGGTCCGCTGCTACAAACTGCAGTACTTGTTGCAATAGCTGTATTAAGTCAAGGAAACGAAACTTTTCTATTATAATGATTGATAACACAGTAACACGTACAAACGGTACGTCTAGCCATGTAAAATATATAAACAAATGTTGTAAAAAGGAAATGAGGGAATAAAATTGATTAGCATAATCCCATTTACGAACTTTCTCCACTTACCGTATTCTCTTAATTAGTTTTAGAATAAGTATGGACAAACTAACCCAAACCCGCGCAAGCAGACACTCTCCCTTAATGTGTGTGTAAGATAATGTTCATGTGCGTTTTTAGAAAAATAGTCAGCGTTTTTCAAATATGAACATTTTCGGAGATCAATTATAGTGAAGGGGTGGACATTTTCACTGCGCATTTGTGTGTATTTCCAGCTACGTTACTACGTGGTCGCAAGAACAGTGCCAACTTCCACCCGTCTGCACTGGTGAAACCAGCGACGGTGATGTTATAAATAGTGCTTTCACGAAGATTGGTCAAGGTAGCAGTTTCAGTATCTGCTGGTGCTTTGTACTGAATTCCGTCGGGGTCAATATACACAATATCATACATGAGATTTGATGGAACGGCCGGCCAGGATAGTGTGATGGAATCTTGTGTAATATAATCTACCATTATATTGGTTGCCGGGGTTCCTGTAAATTAGAATTGGCGATTATCAAACAGTCTGTTCATAAAATCCGGCTTCAAATGAGAAGATATACAATAATGCATTTAATGGTCTGTCATTCATACCTTACCATTTGACTAGAAATCACTTTAGTACATTTGTATTTCCTCGTCAGTATAATGTATAATTTATTTGCCTCAAAACGTGTCTTCCGTTAGGCCTAAAAATGCAGGAATGGCATTCCTCACTGCGGACACGAACATAACTGACCTGATGAAAAATGACTTAAATTGCCAGTTCAAGAGTTACAAAATACATACTTAGTTCACATTGAGTTCCAGTGAAGCCTCCCGGACAAATGCATGTGAATCCATTGGATATATTTAAACATGTCCCAAGGTTTTGACAAGGTCCACTGCTACATGCCGTAGTACTTGTTGCCATAGCTGTAGCAAGTGAAAGGAATGAAACATTTCTATTATAATGATAAGACAGTAACATGTACAAACGGTATGTACAAAGGAAATGAGTGAATGAAATTGATTAGCATGATTCCATTTACGCACTTTCTACAGTTACTGTATTCTCTCATTTAGTTTTAGAATACGTATGGACACACCACCCTAACGGCACACGCACAGACTCTCCCTCAATGTTTGTGGAGGATTTTTACATGCGCGCGTATATATACAAATATATATTTAATCTAAAATATTTAGCGCTTTGAAAAGTCTTATTGTTTAAGAAAAAATAATTTTTCACTCCGCCATGCTGTGTATTTTCAACTACGTTACTTACATGTGGTCGCAGTAACACTGCCAACTTCCGTTTGTCCTTCACTGGTGAAACTAAGGACGGTGATGTTATAAGTAGTGCCTTCAAGAAGATTGGTCAAGGTAGTAGTTTCAGTGGTTGTTGTTTGTGACTGAGTTCCACTGGAACCATTATACACAATCTGATAAATGAGATTTGATGGAACGGCCGGCCAGGATAGTGTGATGGAATCTTGTGTAATAGAATCTATTAGTACATTGGTAGCCGGGATTCCTGTAAATTAGAATTCGTGATTATCAAACAGTCTGTTCATATAATCCGGCTTCAAATGAGAAGATATACAATAGAGCATTTGATTGTCTGTCATTCATACCTGATCAGTTGACTTGAAATCACTTTAGTACATTTGTATTTCCTTGTCAGTATACTGTATAATTTATTTGCCTCAAAACGTGTCTTCCGTTATGCCTAAAAATGCAGAAATGGCATTCCTCACTGCGGACACGAACATAACTGACCTGATGAAAATGACTTAAATTGCCAGTTCAAGAGTTACAAAATACATACTTAGTTCACATTGAGTTCCAGTGAAGCCTCCCGGACAAATGCATGTGAATCCATTGGATATATTTAAACATGTCCCAAGGTTTTGACAAGGTCCACTGCTACATGCCGTAGTACTTGTTGCCATAGCTGTAGCAAGTGAAAGGAATGAAACATTTCTATTATAATGATAAGACAGTAACATGTACAAACGGTATGTACAAAGGAAATGAGTGAATGAAATTGATTAGCATGATTCCATTTACGCACTTTCTACAGTTACTGCATTGTCTCATTTAGTTTTAGAATACGTATGGACACACCACCCTAACGGCACACGCACAGACTCTCCCTCAATGTTTGTGGAGGATTTTTACATGCGCGCGTATATATACAAATATATATTTAATCTAAAATATTTAGCGCTTTGAAAAGTCTTATTGTTTAAGAAAAATAATTTTTCACTCCGCCATGCTGTGTATTTTCAACTACGTTACTTACATGTGGTCGCAGTAACACTGCCAACTTCCGTTTGTCCTTCACTGGTGAAACTAAGGACGGTGATGTTATAAGTAGTGCCTTCAAGAAGATTGGTCAAGGTAGTAGTTTCAGTGGTTGTTGTTTGTGACTGAGTTCCACTGGAACCATTATACACAATCTGATAAATGAGATTTGATGGAACGGCCGGCCAGGATAGTGTGATGGAATCTTGTGTAATAGAATCTATTAGTACATTGGTAGCCGGGATTCCTGTAAATTAGAATTCGTGATTATCAAACAGTCTGTTCATATAATCCGGCTTCAAATGAGAAGATATACAATAGAGCATTTGATTGTCTGTCATTCATACCTGATCAGTTGACTTGAAATCACTTTAGTACATTTGTATTTCCTTGTCAGTATACTGTATAATTTATTTGCCTCAAAACGTGTCTTCCGCTATGCCTAAAAATGCAGAAATGGCATTCCTCACTGCGGACACGAACATAACTGACCTGATGAAAATGACTTAAATTGCCAGTTCAAGAGTTACAAAATACATACTTAGTTCACATTGAGTTCCAGTGAAGCCTCCCGGACAAATGCATGTGAATCCATTGGATATATTTAAACATGTCCCAAGGTTTTGACAAGGTCCACTGCTACATGCCGTAGTACGTGTTGCCATAGCTGTAGCAAGTGAAAGGAATGAAACATTTTTATTATAATGATAAGACAGTAACAAGATATTAACCTGCACTTGCTACTCTCCACCCAGGTGTTAAATGGGTACCCGGTAGGATGCGACCCTCATTGTTGGTCAAACAGCTTGCGAGCGTCAAGTAACGCCCGGCTGGAATGCTCCCCAGGGAGTGGAGATTGTGCACACAGTGTGTGCGGGCAAGTACTGAATCCAATGACCGGGGTAATAGTATATTTGTAAAGCGCTTAGAGACATTTGTATTAAGCGCTATATAAAAATTGAATAATATTATTATTATTGTTATTATGTACAAACGGTATATATACTGTCAAGCCATGTGAAATATAAAAAATGTTGTAAAAAGGAAACGAGGGAAAAAAAATTGATTAGCATGATTCCATTTACGCACTTTCTATAGTTACTGTATTCTCTCATTTAGTTTTAGAATACGTATGGACACACCACCCTAACGGCACACGCACACACCCACCCTCAATGTTTGTGGAGGATTTTTACATGCGCACGTATATATACAAATATATATTTAATCTAAAATATTTAGCGCTTTGAAAAGTCTCATTGTTTAAGAAAAAGAAATTTTCACTCCACCATGCTGTGTATTTTCATTTACGTTACTTACATGTGGTCGCAGCAACACTGCCAACTTCCGTTTGTCCTGTACTGGTGAAACTAAGGACGGTGATGTTATAAGCAGTGCCTTCAAGAAGACCAGTCAAGGTAGTAGTTTCAGAAGTTGTTGTTTGTGACTGAGTTCCAGTGGGGCCATTATACACAATCTGATAAATGAGATTTGATGGAACGGCCGGCCAGGATAGTGTGATGGAATCTTGTGTAATAGAATCTACCAGTACATTGGTAGCCGGGATTCCTGTAAATTAGAATTGGCGATTATCAAACAGTCTGTTCATTAAATTCGGCTTTAAATAAGAAGATATACAATAGAGCATTTGATGGTCTGTCATCCATACCTGATCAGTTGACTTGAAATCAGTTTAGTGCATATGTATTTCCTTGTCAGTATAATTTGTTTACTTCAAAACGTGTCTTCCGTTATGCCTAAAAATGCAGAAATGGCATTCCTCACTGCTGACACGAACATAACTGACCTGATGAAAATGACTTATATTGCCAGTTGAAGAGTTACAAAATACATACTTAGTTCACATTGAGTTCCAGTGAAGCCTCCCGGACAAATGCATGTGAATCCATTGGATATAATGAAACATGTCCCAAGGTTTTGACAAGGTCCACTGCTACATGCCGTAGTACTTGTTGCCATAGCTGTATCAAGTGAAAGGAATGAAACATTTCTATTATAATAATATGTACACGCGGTATGGCTACTGGCAAGTCTTGTGAAATATAACAAATGAGGGAATAAAAAGGTTATTAGCATGATTCAATTAACACACTTTCTACAGTTACTGTATTCTCTTAATTAGTTTCAGAATACGTATGGACACACTCACCCTAACCCAAACACACACTCTCCCACAATGTGTGTGTAAGATAATACGTACATGTGCGTTTTCAGATACAAATAATCTTTCAAAATAGTCAGCGTTTTAAAATATGAACATGTTTGGAGATCAATTACAGTGAAGGGTGGACATTTTCACTGCAAATTTGTGTGTATTTCCAACTACGTTACTTACATGTGGTCGCAGTAACACTGCCAACTTCCGTTTGTCCTGCACTGGTGAAACTAAGGACGGTGATGTTATAAGTAGTGCCTTCAAGAAGATTGGTCAAGGTAGTAGTTTCAGTGGTTGTTGTTTGTGACTGAGTTCCACTGGGGTCATTATACACAATCTGATAAATGAGACTTGATGGAACGGACGCCCAGGATAGTGTGATGGAATCTTGTGTGGTAGAATCTACCACGACATTGGTTGCCGGAGTTCCTGTGAATTAGAATTGGTTATTATTAAACTGTCTGTTCATAAAATCCGGCTTTAAATGAGAAGATATTTAAAAAAAATAGCATTTTATGTTCTGTCATTCATACCTGATCATTTGACTAGAAATCAGATTAGTGCATTTGTATATCCATGTCAATATAATTTCTAGCTTCAAAGCGTTTCTTCCACAGCGCATATAAATGCATGTAGGGTATTATTCACTGCAGAAACGAACATAAATGACTTGATGAAAATTATTTCCATTGCCAGTTGGAGATTGGATGTGCTTGTAGCTTACCTCCTAAAACGATGACATCGAATGTACAAGAAGCCCGATTGCCGGATGGATCGCTAAAAGTATACGTCACGGAGGTTGCCCCGAGAGGAAACGTAGACGGCGGATCAGTGGACTCAGGGATAACAATGCCAGAATTATCGGTAGCAGTCGCACTCGGGACAGACACTTGTGCGCTTGTTTCACCAGCCGAAGCCGTGATAGTTATGGTGGGTGGACAACTTACAACTGGTGGAATAGTATCAACTGAAACAAATAAGGTGTTGATTGTTATAGAAAAAAATTAAGGCGATAATTATCAATGCTCAATTCAATAACCGTGAATTATCCGCCCCACATAATTACAAATAATATTGCAATTAGATGGAACTTAAAAAACCTTTTGTCATATCAGTTATTGAAAAGTATTTTATTTGCAACAGCAAACATGTTCAAGTGAAATAATTAAGATGATTGCTGAAAGCAAACAACCTTGCCTGACGCCAACTTTGATAGGACACCAATCACTCTGCTCATGTTCATATACGATACCACTGTGTCATACCTTGTAAAGAGCCTCTCTATCGCATTAACAATGTCTTTGCTGATGTTAAACTTACGAAGAATCCCTACCATTCCATTCCATCCTGCCATATACGGTCGAATGCTCTTTAAAGTCTATGAAATTATGTAGAATTTTCTTCTGGTCAGTCCTGAATTTCTCACCCTTATAGAATCCTCAGATTAAAAATTTGTTCCACCGTGCTGAGGCCTTTCCAAAACCCTGCCAGTTCTTCTGCAATGATTCTTTTAGCTCTCTGACTCAGTGTATTTAAGATTACTCTAGGAACAGCATGATTGTACAATAGTTGCTACCGGACGTGATTTTGAATTCTTTAGGATGGGTACGATGATTGACTTTGTCCATGCAGATGGTCATGCACGGGTTTTCTAAACCTTATTTTGCAGTTGTTGTTTATGCCTCAAAAGTGTTTTTTCCACCATGTTTGAGGAATCATGTAGGTATGTTGTCTATACATGACGGTTTCCATCTTTTAAGCTCGTAACAGCTTGTTTAACCTCAGGTTGAACATTTGGTGGGTCGTTCTCCTGGTCAGTAACTGTGACTGACCTGAGCTTAGTAGCAGTTTCTGATCTTATGTTAGTTGGTAATTAATGAGTTCATCGCAGTATTTATTCCAACTACTCAGAACAGTCACCCTTTCTATAGGGAGGTTGCCACTTCCGTCTTCTATAACCATCATTCTTGTTCCTTTGCTTCTAGTGAGAAATCATATCTTTTTATAGGCTGCTGCAACTTACTTTGCAGCGGCAATAAATTGCTCATTTAACTGATTTGTTCAAAGCTTTTAGCATGTGTCTCCTACGAGAAGAAGAGCAAATCTTCGTCCAATCTTGGCCTCAATATTTATTAGCATTGTGCGGATCTTCAAACTTTTCCAAGTTGAAATTTAATTTGGGGGACCTCTCTTCCATTACGTTTCTTGAGCTTCAACCTAATGGAGGTCATCTCCAATTTTTAGTCACTTCCTAATTCAGCCAAAGTGAGGGACTTGGTTTGGACAAGGTTTATACTGGACTTATTGCACATGTCAGTGTGTAAGCTAAGGGTATCCACGGCCAAGTGATCGTCTTTCTGAGAGCTTGTCGTAAAAAGAATATCTACTTAAGGCCTGCTTTTCTATCCCAATAAACATGTATTTTAAGAGGTTATACATTTCATTGATACGTACCTGCTACAACATTGACATTATACGAACAAGATGCCACGTTGCCTGATGGATCTGCAAAGGTAAAGGTTAGCGGTGTTGCTCCTATCTGATATTGATTTCCTGCTGGTCGATTCGAAGACACCACCTCCACCATACCAGAGTCATCGGAAGCAGAAGGAATGCCTATATCTATTGTGACATTTACGGTCCCCAGTTGAACTGTCTGGGTGAGGCTAGGGGGACAATCCACAACGGGAGGCGTTGTATCACGAGACACTGTAGAGGCAACAACAAAACAATCCGAATTGAAGGAATGGAATTAAAAGAAGAAATCATGAGTAATAAGAAGTAATATTATTGTTTATCCAGGTCATTTTCATAAAACAACGAAACAAACACAAACTGAAAGCTTTGAAATGCTATTTTACTAGTTATAATAGTCACAGTTGTATAGCACTTAAATATCATTTTACACGTCTTTACCCCTCACGCACGGCCACGCACACTTATATGTGGACGTATTAGTATGTGGGTACGTATGAGCGTTGTGAGTAATTATATTTGTGTGCGTGTATTTGTGAATTGGCGTGTGCGTTTGTGTGTAAAATTATTGAAATAAATATTGAGTCAGTGTTTTGAAGAAGAAAAAAAAAAATTAATATATAACGAATTTCACTGCGCCATGCAGTGTATTTCCAGCAATGTTACTTACATGTGGTCGCAATAACAGTGCCAACTTCCACCTGTCCTGTACTGGTGAAACTAAGGACGGTGATGTTATAAGTAGTGCCTTCAAGAAGATTGGTCAAGGTAGCAGTTTCAGTGGTTGATGTTGTTTGGGATAGAGAGCCACTGGGGTCAATATACACAATCTGATAAATAAGATTGGATGGAACGACCGGCCAGGATAGTGTAATGGAATCTTGTGTGACCAAATCGACCATTACATTTGTTGCCGGGGACCCTGTGAATTAGAAATGACGATTTAATAGCAAACCTACAAGAAAAATAGCTAGTATGAAAGCACACAAATGACCATCTCATGTTCTGCCACCACAATTCGCTCATACCCAACTCCGTGACTAGAAATCGTATCAGGGGATACGTGTATATCCACGTCAGTAACATTTCCTACTGCAAAACATGTATTACATATAAATACATAATTCTATCTATTCGACCTAACAGTGGATACGATGACCTCGAATGAACAGGATGCCCAATTGCCTAAGGGATCCATGTATACATATATATATGACACGGTGGTTGTTCCTACTGAAAACGGATTACCAGGAGTTGGCTGAGTGCTAATGAGGGTTGCACTACCATAGTTATCGCTTGCAGTGGCACTGGGACACGATAGATACACCAGGAGCACCCGTTTCAAAGAAAGATCCTGGGCAAACTACGACGGGCTGAGTAGAATCAACTGAAAAGTCACAAGTTCATTAGTACCTTGAAGCTAAACCACGAAGGATATGTGTCCATAGGGCATCTTTTTTTCTTCTTTCGTGCATAATTTGTATTTACTACTAATATTATTTCATTTGACAAGAAAAGGTGTATTGTGATTAAAAAAGATAAAGTACACTCACCAATAGAGATGGTAATAGAGAAGGTACAAGAACCCTGGTTACCGGAGGGATCCCTATACGTATACGTCACGGGAGTGGTTCCTACAAGAAATGTACTCCCAGACGGCGGAATAACGCTCACAAGGACAAAACTACCCGAGTTGTCAGTGACAGTTGCACTAGCGAAAGGTATGGACACACCAGGCAAACCAGCAGCAATTGTGTTGACGATGTCGGATGGACACGTCACGACGGGCGGCATACTGTCAACTGAAAAATACAAGTAAAAGTAGATTTCAAAGTTATCTTGTGACCAGATGTACCTGCTAGACTTCACAAGTGAACAGGTAATCTATACAGAGGATTTTCTCTGCTATTTCACCAGTACGAGTCATTAGTAATAAGATGCCTGATGATTGGTAACTCCTTCTCTGTACGTGTACATGACATGAAACACGTTTCGTATGTACATTCAAGAATATTTACTAATTACCACCATGAGATGGTTGATGCCTCATCACATCCGCAATATATTCAATGAGCGGTTAGATTATTGATCAATCGTGACTCTACCACCACTCCTTTGAAGCCCCTCTAAAGTTTTGGGAGCGCCACAAATTTGATGGCAAAATTTCACTTAAATCGTATCAGAATGGGAAAGAGGATGTCATTTAAGACACATTTCTGCAAGGAATTTCTAAACAAATGTGTTTGAAGTCGAATAATAATGAAAGAATACAATTTTGTTTGCTTTCTGCATACAACAGAAAACCTAAATTATGTATTATTTGATCAATATTTGTCTTCAACATATTTGAGGGGGGTAATCTTTGCAGAAGTGTGTCTGAAATGACATCCTCTGTCACAGTATGATATAATTTAAGTGAAATTTTGCCATCAAATTTGGGGCTCCCAAAACATTAGAGGGGCTTTCGCTAAGATCTAGCCCTTTTATTCTTACATGATGACACGGTGACTGTGAAGGTGCAAGAAGCTTGATTCAATGCTGAATCCCGGTAGGTAAATGTGACTGGTGTTTGTCCAAGAGGAAATTGATTTGTCGTTGGCAGAGTTGAACTCACAAGTACCACAGTGCCTGATTCATCAGTAACAGTGGGTTGTGGAACTGATATCTCTGCAAAGGCAGTTCCTATTTCAACTAGCTCGTTAATATCAACAGGACAGATCACAGAGGGTGGTGTAGTATCAGGGGAACCTTAGAAGAAGAAAAATATGGTTGTATTAGCTAGGACTTTTGTATTCTTGCATTAGATAGAACTGCCTTGAGGATCATAATGTATACTCGGAAGAATGGTATCAGTGATAAAGATTAGGTAGCGTCATATGAAAATGGAAGTGAAGGGATAACATCGACTGAATATGTATGCAAAACCAATGATAAAAACATGTCGATCGATTGCCTTCCAAGTATTGTATATTAACTAACTAAAGAGATATCCATTGTTCATTATATATACCTGGTGGAAGTATTGTCAAAGCCGCACGGGTTCTAAGGCCGTTTCTCTGGCTATACAGATTGAACGTGTAGTCTGTGTTCGGCGATAGACCCGTGATTTGTTCTGACGTCCTGCCCATAGCCACTTCTCTACTGGAGATCCCATCTCCTGAGGCTGTTGCATATGAGATCACATACCCATCCACACCTGGGGTAGTGGCCCACCTAAGCTCATAGCTGGTAGCCGATGTACTCTGAACGGTAGCGCTTGTTGGAGCAAGGGGTAGAGCTGGAACATAAAAGTACATCGATGACAATCACAAATTCCAACGTGGAATCAAGGACATTATGGCCCATGCCACATGAAGAGTCTACTCAATCGAGCCATTCACGACCACCCAGGGATATCAATGCACAGAACGGGTCCAGACTCAATCTATAGAGTGACGCAACCCCTTTAATCAAAGAGCAATGGCCTGTTGTAAGGTTTTGAACTTATCCCTAATCGCTTTCGTCAGAACATTGACATAGAAATCATCACGAGCCAATGAGTGTGAGCAGAACAATCCCCCCCCCCCCCACTCAGGGGTCGGAATGACCGCATGCGTGTTGCCAAAATATCCGGTAAAGGGGTGCTTTTCGTGCGACAAAGTCCGGCCCGAGAATTGTAAAAAAAAGGGTTGTATTTGACTTTTCACCCGGAGATTTCTTTAAAAAGGGGGTGTTTTTCCTTTTTTTCTCTCATCTCTTTGGACTCCTGAGAAGTTATTTAGAATTTAGGGGGGTACATTGAACATTTTTCCTGATTTAGGGGGGTATCCAAGGCAGGAAAAGCCCGCGAAAAGCCCGCGAAAAGCCCGCGAAAGGGGGGTTCGGAAATGTTGGCAGTCCTCAGATAGGGGGTGCATTCAAAAAGAGGGAACGAGCATATGCGTACCCTAAATAACACTGAGTGGGGGGGCCGAGAGAACAATAGTGTGACAGCGCCGGTGCAGCCGTTACTATATGTAGGGGCCTATAGTTGACTGCATACTGCGGCAAGAATTCTATTTAATTAAACAATCAAGTGCAGTAATGGTATAAGTGAATTATTTCTCCTATGCTGCTGGCTTTACCCTTATAAATGCGAAAAGGGGGCCACGACTCACAACCAATGTAATCTTTTATATAAAGGCCACATGCAAGGTTTTAGATTTGTCCAAAAAATCGGCGTCAACGGAACACTGACAAGTTTAGCATATCATTGAATCTTTACAAACCATTGAGAGGCTTTTATATCTACATTGTTCGCTGCTTCGTTGTATACAGGGGCATTGCATTGCTTGAAATTAATATGATCGGTGCAGCGGAATGATGGATCATGTACAGTTGATATCAACAATCTCACATCGGGGTCTATACTAACACTACCGCAATTACAATATTAAAATATTTTTAATCTCATAGTATAGTTGCCGTTTCATTTCATATTCTTCATCCTCCCCAAACTACAGGAAATTTGTTTAAATAATATTTCACCATTATATCACTTAGTATAAGATTATTAAAAACCTCTACAACGAGTTCGTTTTTTCATATCTGATTGCACTGTTACCCAAGTTTGAAAACCAACCTGAAAGAGGTGGGTCCTCAGCCGATACAAGGTAGTTCGTATCGATTTTTCCCCCTAAGAAAGGGACTACTAACACCCCGGTGGGTGGATTGCCTGCCAGAGTGTCATCCTGCACAGTAATCGTAGTTGTTGTAGGGTCATTAACACTCCTCTGGAAACCAGAGCTTCCAGCTGTGTAAGCTACGAGATAACCGGTTACATCCGTGATGTCTCCGGGCTCCCAAGACACGGTGAAGAAGTCTAGCTCATGTGACTGGAAGTAGACATCCCTTGGTGCCGGACTAGAAACCAATGGATCTAGAGCCATGACGTGGACATATTTGTAAACGTAGAAAAAATATTGAATAAAAGCACAAATATTTAGAAATTACTTAAAATAAATAGTCACCACAGTTTGACTTTTAAAGATGTTACTGCATAACAATGTCAGTCTATCAGTTAACAAGCAAAAGATGTAAAACACACTATACTATAATTTAAGATATCCGTATAGGGGGTGAACATACATTATGAACAAAATTAATTTAATCATCTCAGAACATGATAACATGTTTATCAAGGTCATTTATATTCATCTTCAAACTCTCATGGATGAAACAACAAGCCCATCTCAAATGATATTAGAATAACTCGATAACATATTTGGCCAACAGCTTAATACGCTAACCGTCGACCAAAATTGAGATTAAGTTCATGAGTTTTACTTGATAACTAAAACCGAACTTTTTATGAATATAACTATTTAATCGCAAATGAATTCAGTCATTCTCATGCATTCCAATTGGATGTCAAATAAAGTATTCGAATTTCTACCTGTATTAAATGTAACAGTCCCTATTTCATTTGTCCCCATTCCGTCGGGTAGATTAGCTCTGACAATAACGTTGTAAGCTGATCCTGGGGTTAAGCCAGTAAGATCAGCTGAATCCGAAGAAGAGACGACTGTCTGTGGCAAGCCATTTGGCCCAGTGTAGAAGACCAGGTAAGTTGGGTTTCCAGGTATGGTCATCCATGAGACACTTGCTGTGGTTGCTGTTACATCTCTAACGAACACAAATGGTAGCGTATCTGCAAAAAGAAATATGTCAACACGAAAATGACGAGCAAAAACATCCCTCACACAGTAAAAACCACTACCATCAGAGTGTATCAAGCAATGTAGGTTGAATGGTTGCGTTACACAAATAAATGCTTAGGCTTTCGCACAATGCAAACGTTTAGAATCAAGAAAGTTACTCAACAAATGCTACCCCCCCCCCACCCCCCCCCCCCCCCAGAAAAAAGGGGGGTATGTACAACTGGGAAAACGATCATAGAGCCGTCGGTCGAATTACTGTAAAGCGAGCAAATTAGACTCGCAACTTGTTTTTGCTTAGATGTCCGTCGTTAAACTTTAGCGAAAGTTTCTGGTTTCTCAGTATCCATTCAGAAAGAATAAATGATTGCATAATTCCCTTAATTTTAACCGTAGAGAAATCTTAATTGTAATGTAGGTGTACCTGTATTGACAAGAGTAGTGCCTACAACAACAGTTGTTCCGGTGCTAGTAATTGCCTCGACGCGAACATCGTAGAATGCGCCTGCACTAAGGCCAGAAAGGGTAACAGAATTCGTTCCAGAAGGGACTGTCCTTTCCAGACCACCTGGTCCAGTGTTTGTGTAGATGATCCTATAACCTAGGTTTCCAGGAAGAGGTGTCCAGGACAATATAGCTGTCGATGATGACACACTATCAACGGTCACTGTCGTTTGTTCTGTTTATCATATTGTTGGGGAAAAGAGGGTAATTGACGCATTTACAGATAGGATGGAACAACAAAAAATTAATGCTTCATTCAAAATTACAACTGTAGCTACAATGCCGTGTATATAAAAGGGCGTTTACATTTTGGATTGACAAAATTAGTTTTCGATACTAAAGATGGCAAAGTTAACGACATTTTCGAATGTCTTTGACAACGTAAGTGTTTTGAGATCGGATGGGGATAAGAGGGGTTAGATATAAAAGTGACATTTTGTTACACAAAGAGGATGGCGATTTCTTGTGATTACCGAGGTACGGAAAGAAACACAGCAACTGACTAGGGCAGGAGGGGGCATCCCTTTGCAAAGTAAGAATAGGCCTACTTAAATTGAGCGTTATGTTAAGGTTTCTCTTCCACACATATGATCACATTCTACATTGAGACAGAAGATGTGCCCAATACATGCCATGCGGAATGGTGCATAAAGATTAAAACTTACGAAAACGGTTGATGCGATGTGCACCATTTTCAAATTCTTCTTATTTTGTTACATGTGTGCATGGAAAACCTTGACATATCAAGATGTAATTATTTGAATATTAGATCCTTACAATAGGCTACATAATCCTTATATATGTATAGGCATTATTCAATATTCTTAATACTTCAGCAATGTTGGAGTAATTCGGGTAAACTTGAAGTAATATCAAACCCTCGCACCATTCATTCACTCATTCACCCATTACAGCAAATGAATGGAGGCAGCATTTATTAATTTTCAGAAGAACCCGTCCTTTTATGTTACTTTTCTGAATAAAAAAGCAAGTGCATTTGTCGGCTAAAGGAGACGTTGGTAGTTCAGTTTACCCACATTTGCCAGGGACCAACCTGTATTCGTCGTTGCGGTGCCTACTACAAATGTAGTGGTTCCTATATCCGCTTGCACACGAAATGTGTACATAAATCCTGGCACTAGATTACTGAGACTGGCTGAATTCGTCCTAGATGCAATTGTTCTTTCTATGCCATCTGGTCCAGTGTAGATGATCTGATAAACGGTGTTTTCAGTAAGAGCGGTCCATGACAGGCTGGCCGTTGAGGGCGTTATATTGTTAACCGTCACCGAGTTTGATTGGCCTATGGGGGAATAGATAATTAGAGTTAGAATGAAAGGCTATTTAAAACATGAAGTGTAACATATTGTGTGCACAATTACAATGAATGATACTTATTGAAGATAGCCAGCGATTTCATGTTAGGTTTCAAGAGAAGGATAACTTAACATGTTACTAACACTAAATATTATGAACAATAATGATGTCCCATAATATTGTTCTTACTAAAAATGTTTCACAATACGTTGGTACCATTTCAATACGCACCAAAAACTGCAGTACTCTGTAAATAACATTAAGCATTCTCGGTAGAACTAAAAGAGATGATATATCAAAGACCACACCTATAAGGGGTAATAAAAAGCATACATGGAGAATAAAGTACCTCAATATATCGTCACCCTATCAACCTCTCTGACTGTATACGTTTCATGAGATAAAAGAGATATAATATGATCTAGAATAAATGCCAGCTGTACCAGTGATATAAAGATCATAATAGCTACGGCAAAGTAGAGAATGGTTGACCAGCATGTACTTTGGAATGACAAGAACATCTCAACCTGTCTGAAAATGAGACTGGTCAAAACCCTGGTTTGGGATGCTATGCTTTATGGTGCTGAAAAATTAACTGCTCAAAGCCGATGAAAATCGCATCATGGCAGCAGAAATTTGGTTCTGTAGGAAAATGCTAAAAATCAGCTGGAAGGACAAAAGAATTAACCTCAGTGTTCTACAAGAACTGAACACAGAAAGAGGTCTCCTTGGAAAAGTGGCCCGCCTCAAGATGGGTTACTTTGGACACAATTTCTGCTAAAATCGGAAAAATGCTCAATTTACCCCCCTAAATTCGGAACAGTTTCTCAGGAGTCCAAAGAGATCAGAGAAAAAAAAAAGAAAAAACACCCCCTTTTTAAAGAAATCTCCGGGTAAAAAGTCAAATACACCCCTTTTCTTACAATTCTCGGGCCGGACTCACGAAAAGTACACCTTTACCGGACATTTTGGTAACGCGCATGCGGTCATTCCGACCCCGGAGTGGGGGGGGGGGGAGGGGCGGGGAACAGGATAGAAACAAACAAAGAAGACAAGAATAAGATGTGTAGATGTGGTCGCCAATCGCCAGGAGCTGACGATGGCAGCCAGGTAGGTAGATTACGAGTAATCAAAAGAGAGGAATCGTGGGTCTATTGCAAAATTTTGAGTGAGCAGTATATTAATGTATGTTGACAACCTACTTGTTGTGAATGTTGTAGTTCCCACTTCTAATTGTCCACCCTGTCCGGCTAAATTGGCCACTACGCGGGCGTCGTATGAGAACCCTGGCAACAGATTTGACAGCGTCATGGATTCTGTTGCTGACGAGACCGTACTCTGGGAGCCATCCTGACCGGTAAGATTGATCTGGTAGCCTGTGGCTCCTGGCACAGCTGTCCAAGACAATGTAGCCGTTGTTGGTGTCACTTCATCGACATTGATTTGTGGTGCTTGGAAGAATGAAGAAAGAAAATGATTAATCATTTGAATGATTTCTGTCGATTGATATTCCTACGACAAAATAAGCTAAAGTTTAATCTTAATACAGATGACTGTGGAGGCACCAACTTTGATTTTCTTTTGTACCGGTATTGAAATTTACGATTTCTTTTGGTCTTAGAAAAGTTCGTTCGCCTCCTTGTACTATTTGCATTTCAATTGGTTAAAGTTACATTATTCTCAGTTGCCAGTATTTCGGTCAAGCTAGTTTTCATGGATTTAACCCGGAAGGGACGCTTACGTATTTCTAAAACATGAGTCCATTGTTAGGTTATATTTAACGGAATAATCAATGGAGTATACGATCTTTTTGGAGGGATAGCTCGTTGTTATGGTCCATCCCATCGTTACATTGGGATTGCCCGTGCTCTCTAAATGATCATGTGCGATATCTTTTTTTTATTGATATTCCATTTCCTTTGCCGCCATTAGGTGCTAAAGTTTTAGCAGAGTTCGGGGCGCCTAGCCCATAGATGTGACTGTTCGTGATTCCTGATCATGTGTAATAAATTGTAATAAACGTACTATCCACTTCAACACTTGACTTTTATTAAGAACTTTTCATTTCTTCGCTTGGACTTTGTTCTTCTCTTGAACGCGACTCGGGCGGGGTGGTAGGCGGCCATCGGCCATCCCGTAGCCTGGTCCGCTTTACTTTTATAAAGAAAATAACCAATCCACGGTTTAAAAAAAATGTATTGAACATAACTTATGTGAACTATTGTATATGACAAAAATGCGGATGGGCCTACAATTTCCTCTAATTCCCGCAGAATAGAGGATTATTTGTACATTTTAAAACAATCATTTTACATCTGTGTCAAGACAAAGCCTGGAAAAATAAAAAATCATAACCATAGTGATGACAGATTTTAAACTTTACCTAATGTCGTGGTAGTAGTAGTGCCTATGACATTAACTCCCGTTGGTTCATTGACTTGCACACGAATGCAATATGTAGTCCCGGGAATAAGATTGACAAGACTGGCCCCGTTTGTCACAGATGACACTGTCGTTGCCGTACCGTCTGGGCTCGTGTAGATAATCTGATAAATACGGCTACCCGATAGAGGTGTCCATGTCACACTGGCTGTAGAAGATGTTACACTGGTCACTGCCACTGATCCAGATGGTGCATCTGGGTTATGAGCATATATAGAGAAAAGAAGGCTTGGTATATGTTGTGTTTGTAAGACTGTGCTAACAGTCAACGTCGAGGGCTCAATCCCCTTTATGTACACATGATGACAATATGATCGGACATCTTGGAATAGATTAAATCATCTCAACTTCTAAATTCATTGTATTTAGTTTTATGTCTTTGAGTTCCTAAATACTACATCTGGCGACGAGAATGGCTGGAATAGGTCTTGTAGCACCTAACCCATTCCTAGCAACCCCAGGAGAACCTCCTGTGCCTTGGTCACGATGGATTTTGAGCTTCAAAACGTATTTGACTGCAAGCGGGTTGGACACAGCGGAGATACCCGACCTCCGCCGCCGCGCAATCCTGATCCACTGTTTGGGCGCAGAGGGGCAGCGGATCTTCGGACAGCTGGAAGTGTCTACTACCGGTACGTACGATAAAGCTGTTGATGAACTTGAGAAATATTTTGGGCCAAAAACAAGTGTGATGATTGAACGATATCGTTTCCGACAGAGAGTACAAGGTCATGGGGAGCCAGTAAAACAATATGTGGCAGCCATAACCGAACTGGCATCCAAGTGCAAGTTTGGCACCTTAAACGATGAACTGGTTAGAGATCAACTAATCGAAAAGACGTCTATTCCCCGTATTAGAGAACGTCTGTTAATGGAGGATGACGGTCTGACACTTAAGAAGGCGCTCGATCTAGCGATCCAGATCGAAGCCGCAATGCTGGACGCCAAGCTCCTCAAACAACACGATGTGACTGTGAGTGCCAGTACAGGACATAGTCATACTGCACATCAGGCAACTCCAGTACAGAACATCAAACGACCATATCATAACAAAGCCCACTCTAACCATGCTAACTCGAAGTCGTGTTCGAACTGCGGACGGACACACCCTCCGAAAGCGTGTCCAGCGTTTGGAAAACGTTGCAATTCGTGCTCGAAGATGCACCATTTCTCTAGCGTATGCAGATCTACCAAGAAAAGTGCATCTTCAGTTCGACACGTTGATGAACCAATAGAGGGCGACATAGCAAGCAGCGTGTTCACACTCTCAGACCGGATCTCTTCAGCACATTCAGGTCAGTTCAAAGAATGTGAAGTGCAGATTGCTGGTACTAACCTCTCTTTGATGATTGATGTGGGGGCCAAAGTGTCAATTCTTAGTGATAAACTGTATCATCGACATTTCTCACATTGTAGCCTGTCATCGACATCGAGCAAGCTCATAGCATATGGTGAACCACCTACACTGATTTCCGTTCTGGGCATGGTTGAGCTTCCTGTCGGGTACAAGGATGTACATCTCGACAGCTTTACGTTCTACATAGCGAAGGGCGAGAGCCTTATGGGAGTCAATCTGTTCGACGCCCTAGGATTTCAGATGAACGACCACACTGGTGAACGCATTCGGCTCGTAGACAATGCGTATAGAGAACGCTATGCTGCACTTTTCAACGAGTTTGGTAAATGCAAAGGATATTGCCATGCACCAAGGGTGGATTCCTCAGTCCCACCTACTGCACAGAGTCTCCGTCGACTTCCGTTAGCTGTCAGGGATGAAGTCTCAAAGGAACTTCATAGGCTTGAATCCGATGGCATCATTGAGCGCATCGATTCATCCCTGTGGGTGTCTAATCTGGTCATCGCACGCCGTAAGAATGGAGATCTTAGACTTTGTGTAGATTTGAGGGCAGTCAACAAGGCAATCATTCCGGATAAGTATCCACTTCCTACTATGAATGAACTTTCAGCTTCATTCCACGGAGCTAAAGTTTTCTCTAAACTAGACATGAGACGTAGCTATCTCCAGGTTCCGCTAGCAGAGCAGAGCCGCCATCTCACTGCATTCAACACACACATAGGCATGTTTCAGTATCGCCGTATGCCCTATGGACTGAACTCAGCACCTAGCGCATTCCAGAAAATCGTTTCTTCAGTTCTAGCTGGAATCGAGGGCACGTTGAATCTCCTTGATGATGTGGTAGTCTTCGGAGAGGACAAGGCTCAGCACGATCAACGATTAGCAGAAGTCATGACGCGCCTCGCCAAGCATAACTTGACGCTCAACGAGGCCAAGTGCACGTTCGCTGCTTCGGACATTGATTTTCTGGGATATCATGTCACTGCAGATGGTCTGACGCCTACACTCGACAACGTTGCAGCTATCCGAACACTCCCAGCCCCAACGAATGTGAAGGAGCTAGCCTCATTCTTGGGAACAACGAACTTCTACCGCAAATTTGTGCCACAATACGCAGAAATCGCAGAACCTCTGCAGAAGCTTCTCCGGAAGGACGCGCTTTGGGAATGGCACAACGCACAAGAGACCGCATTCAACACGCTCAAAGGAAGAATCGCAGAGCCGCCAGTTCTCGCTCACTTCACTCCAAGCGCTGAAACGTACGTGACTACAGACGCATCAGCGTTCGCTATCGGAGCACAACGCCTCACAACTCGCTACACAACTCGCCTCACAACTCGCTACAACCCTCAAAGCAATGGCGGCGTAGAGCGTTTCAACCGGGTAATCAAGGAGAGCTTGAAAGCGAATCTCGCAGATGGAATGACCTTCGATAAGGCCATCCAGACCCTACTACGCACGTATCGCTCAACACCTCATTCGCTAACCGGAAAGACTCCAGCAGAGTTGATGTTGGGACGGAACCTCCGTATGCCATTCAACATCCTGAAACCACCGGTTTCAGAGCCTGCAAGCACACAGGCTGAAGCGAGAGAGATTGAGAGGAAACAGCAAAGCATGAAAGCGTACACTGACAAACGCAGACGAGCAATCACACCGAAATTCGCTATCGGTGACTGGGTTCGTGTAAAGCGTCCAAATCGCAAGCACAAGCTAGCTTCGGGGGTATCGAAACCCAAACAGATCGTGAAGAAGCTCGGCTCGAATGCATTTGTACTAGATGACGGAACGCGATGGAACACCAGACGCCTTATCGCGAGCAAGCCAGGCAACATGAATGAAAGCGATTGGGAAGACACCTTTCCATTCCCTACAAGCACTGAAGATCAAGAGCAACAGCGAGCAGAACCGCGAACTGTTCGTCGTTCTCAGCGTCTAAGGAGACGACCTGGATATCTACGAGATTACAGATCTTAAATCCTTAGAGCCGACAAGTATTGAGCATAGAAATTAAAAAACTGGAACATTTAAGTTTTGGACTCGTATGAAACAATTGCTCAATATAGGTTAATAAAATTTCAGGCTTGTTGTTAATAAACAAGTTTTATTTTCTGGACTCATAAACTTTTGAACTCATATCTGGACTTAGTTATATAACATTATTCATCTCTTTAAAGGAGGGAAATATGTTGTGTTTGTAAGACTGTGCTAACAGTCAACGTCGAGGGCTCAATCCCCTTTATGTACACATGATGACAATATGATCGGACATCTTGGAATAGATTAAATCATCTCAACTTCTAAATTCATTGTATTTAGTTTTATGTCTTTGAGTTCCTAAATACTACAGTATATTACGTTCCTTTTAAGCGAGATGAATTAAAACATTGTGATATACATTTAACCCTTTCTTCGTGATGAATCAAAAACCTAGAATGCCATGTATTTTATTTTTTTTTTCATTTTCGGTTTAAGTTAATAAAATTTGAAGTGGACTTTAGAAGATTATTATTATTATAACATAATGAATTATAAACATGTTTAATTGTAAACGTTTCGTATCAATTCTGATAAGAGGTCGAACCGTTCATTGGTACAAACATCTAACTATCAACATTGATATCTTTGACTTTCTTTGTATTGGGGATAAAATAGTAACAGAACAAAATATATCAATACATCATTTATTTTTAACGTCTTGTCCAAAAACTCGTAAGTTAAAAATATATGTGACTTGGAAAATGTATTTTACACAGTCTGGACAACCGGAACTTACCCGATGGGCTCGTTATTGGAATAATGAATCCTATTGTAACCCGACCTGAGTTCTGTGTGAGCGCATGTACCGTGATGTTATACTGCGTCATTGGTGTCAGTCCGACGAGGGTTATGGTGTTGGTAAGAGAACTTCTCTGATCTTCGACTCCGCCTGGAATAATCGGACTATAGAGGATCTGGTACACAACAGTATCCTCTACACTGGTCCATGACAGAGTGATTGTGTCAGACGTAACTGAATTCACTGCCACGTTTGTCACGGTAGCTGGATCAAAGAGTAACATGAAGGATGTTCACCTAACTGGAAAATGTTTGCTACACTCGAGAAAGCTTTAGGAAGTGGGTACTTGGTAGGGTTTATTCTTTGAATTCATTATACTCTACTAATAACGACGACAGGTCCTGCAAAAATGTTTCATACTATATTCAATAAATGGTAATATTTCCTTCTTTGAATGCTTATCGTGGATAAAATGAAATAAGTGTTTCAAGGTGGGGTGTTCGTGTGATATTTAAAAAAAAAAGAAACACTAATGTTTTATTAAGTTGATAATGCTTTTAGATTTGTGCATAATGCGACTAAGGGATTATAGTGGGTCTTACCTGTCGTTTCAACAATTGATCCAACATTTCCTTCTGTTAGACCGGATGTTGCTACAACAGAGAATGTATAACTCGTCTGTAGTTGTAGACCAGTTACTACCGATGTGGGAGTGGGTGAGTTCAGTACCCCTGTTCCTGCGTTGTCTTGACTGATGTAAGATATCCTGTAGTTTGTGGTCGTTGGAATTGCTGCCCATGATAATGTCACGGATGTTGAAGTCTTGCTGTCCACCATAACAATTGAATTCGGTATCGTGTCTGTGAAAGTTGAGTAAATCTCATGTCATTACCGTAAATCACATTGATACATCCTGTCAAACAGTGCATTAACTACCATATAGGTGTAAGCCAGTAATTAGAACACGTACTTTATCTGTAAGCTCAAAAAGGGAATTCCTCATACATGTATGTATTTGATGTACGCTAATTAGATGGCAAATCAAGATTCCTCGTCAACTGTGTAAGCAGTTGATTTCTAAAAATCGCAATGTGTTGCTTTCCTAACAATTTTTTCAAACTATACGAAAGAACATTCTGATCATTGGATTCATGGAACTCATAATAGAGTTCGTCCAATCAATAACAGTTACGACAAAGAAAAATGGCTACGAAAAAGTACACTGTACTTAAATCGCTTTGATAATCATGACGTATAAATGTAAGCTAGTTTTAAGGAGTAAGGATTCGAAAATGCCTAAAATATATTCAATGACAAAATATTCGATGTTATATTCGACCTTGTTCCTTTCTTATTCAAAAGAATCCTAGTCATTAACCGAATCAAATAAGATAATATTATTTCAGGAAAGATATTGTTATTCATAATGTAAACTTTAAAGAGATAATCTGTACTGACTACATGACGGTACATGTGTATGTGGATGAAGTGGGGTGCTAGGGGGGGGGGGTACAAAATTCACTACAAAAAGGTGTCCACACTTTTGCTCCCTCCCTTCACATGTGCACGGAAACGGGGAAGTTGATATTTGCGCTAAAGGCGCCAGCCCCATCGCGAAAATATCAATATACTCGGTATATTTGTATACAAAATGCATAATTATTTCAATGTCATTAATATGGTACTCTAATAGGTGAACGATTGTTTAGAATATTTTAAAAGAAAATTGATATATTTCTCACTTGTTTTTGCCAGATCCGATCCAAGGACAGTTGATTGTCCTCCGTTAGAAGGCATGCCCTCAATAACAATGATGTAGGTCGAATCAGGCATCAAGCCTTGGATTACAGTACTCAGTGAACTCTGCACTGCTTGGTTTAACTCCTGTGTACCGTCATCTTTGAAAAGATGGACAACGAACTCGACGTTGATGACGGAGTACTGCCAGGACAATTGTAGTTTCTCATCTGTTATTGCTCCTACGCTCAGCTGAAACTCAGCAGAATTGTCTGCATGAACGATAATTATTTAAAATAAGTGATATATCGTGAAATTCTTTACATTTCCTTCGACTGTTTTTTTTTTTAAAGATTTCTGTCATATTTGTCATATTTTCTTGCGGGCTGTTCTGTCCAAAGAGAGGAAATCTCTTTTATAAGGGAACTTGGTTTCTATCATCAAATCATTAGATATCTACGGCTATAAGTGTGAGATTAAGAAAGAGAACCCTTCCTTTCGTTAATGTCAAAGGAAAGATATGATGTGTTTGAAGACGATGGCTAACTTACCTAATGGTAACGCAGTGAACGCGATGATTACACTTCTTTGGGTACCGACTTGAGTAACGACCCTAAAGTCATATAAAATTCCTCCTTGAAGATCAGGTATTACATAACTGGTAACAGTTGAATCTAGCACTGTGTCCTGCCCTTCTCCAGTAACGGAATCGAGGTATGTGACAACGTAGTTCTCAAAGGAATTATCCGGTGGAGACGGAGGATCCCATCGGAGCAAAACGGATGAGGCACTGATCTGGTACAACAAGAAGTTTTCTGGTGGTTTTGGCTCTGCTCCATCCATACCTGCAGTGTAAAATTAATATGATAATATGGTTTCGAATTGGCAAGCTATGAATGTCTGACTAAGGAATTAATTTACCCATGAGTAACACAAGATAGATCCATTAATTATCACTCAATGTTTTGGAACATGGTACAAAGGGTATTATCATTATTGTCATTTGTATTACTACTATTATTTTGTATTAGTATCATTACTATTTATTTGGCATTCAAAAGATACAATATCATGAAGGCATGAGATTTAATCTAAGAACAAATGATTCAGCGTCCCCTACTGTACTTCCTGCATTAATGAAGTTCCCTGGAAGGATAAAAGGAATGTGGAATATGAATGGTACTGGACAGTTTCAAAGATTCCTAATCAATTGTAACCAGTTTCTTTCAATCAAAATTAAATCCATCACCTTGAACAATAGAGAGAAATTTGACACGTTGTATTTTGTATTGCATTGCAACGCAAAATACATCAGAAAAAGGTCATCGATCATAAATGATGTGACTTTACCTGTTGTTGTCATACCAACAGCCGATCCTACGTTCTGCTCTACATTGCCTATGATTGCTACCACAGAGAAGATATAACTTGTCTGTGGTTGTAGACCAGACACTACTGATGCGGGAGCGGGTGAGTTCAGCACCCCTGTTCCTGCGTTGTCCTGTCTTATGTAAGATACCCTGTAGTTAGTCGCCAATGGAGTTGCTGCCCATGATAAAGTAACGGATGTTGAAGTCTCGCTGCCCACAGCAACATTTGAATTTGGTTGGGTATCTGTCGCAAGAATATACTTAAACATGAGGTTCTGTGATAATAAATAATTCACTTCTCTAACCGCTATATTACACTCGATCCACACATTTATTGTTGACGGTTTCATAATCCTGAACAATAGGAAGATGCTCTCCCGGGGGGACGAGAGTGTGTACTGTCAGGTGCAGAATTGTAATACTATGAAGTGACCATGGTAAAACTACTATTAGTGCTTTGGTCGGCCACGTTTCAACTGGAAAAGCGCTAAACAAGAAAAAGTTATTATTATTATTTGTTATGAGAGTCTCCCTGACCTTGCTCATGTAGGTTATTTTCTTGATACGATTATCATGTATCAGAAGTGAAGATATGTGTTGTAAGTGTTATAAAAAACTAGTTTTGCATAGGTATTGATAAAAGCATATAACTTATTAGAGAACAATCCAAATTAAGAAACGATGTACTCGATTGGAGTTGCTCAGTAATTCCTTTTTGTGAGCGATAATGTTGAGGGACATTATGTGCTTATGACAGATGTGGCGAATTGATAAAAGGAAAGCGGATATATGGCTCACTTGTTAATGCTAGATCCGATCCAAGAACAACTGGTTGTCCTCCGTTAGAAGGTATGCCCTCAATAACAATGATGTAGGTCGAATCAGGCATCAAGCCTTGGATAACAGCACTCAATGCACTCTGCACTGGTTGGTTTAACTCCTGTGTGCCGTCATCTTTGAAAAGATGGACAACGAACTCGACGTTGATGACGGAGTACTGCCAGGACAATTGCAACTTCTCATCTGTTATTGCTCCTACGCTCAGCTGAAACTCAGCAGAATTGTCTGCATGAACGATAATTATTTTAAATAAGTGATATATCGTGAAATTCTTTACATTTCCTTTGTCTGTTTTTCTTTGATTGTTGTCATACTGTAGTTACTGTGTATCATCTTGTGGGCTGCTCTGTCAAACGAGAGAAAAATCAACACCAAAATCCGTTTCATATATAAATGACTTGGTTTCTATCATCAGATCATTAGATTTCAAGGGCTCTTAGAGTTAATGTAAGAGTAAAAATATGGTGTGTTTGAAGATGATGGCTTACTGACCTAATGGTAACGCAGTGAACGCGATGATTACACTTCTTTGGGTACCGACTTGAGTAACGACCCTGAAGTCATATAAAATTCCTCCTTGAAGATCAGGTATTACATTACTGGTAACAGTTGAATCTAGCACCGTATCCTGCCCTTCTCCAGAAACGGAATCAAGGTATGTGACAACATAGTTCTCAAAGAAATTATCCGGTGGAGACGGAGGATCCCATCGGAGCAAAACGGACGAGGCACTGATTTGGTACAAGAAGAAGTTTTCTGGTGGTTTTGGCTCTGCAACTAAAAAGAAATTCGGACTGAATTACATGTATTCAGATGTAGTCTATTAATGTTACATGTAACAAAAGTTTCTCATTATTGGTTTGAAAATGTAATCAAGCCCTCATACATAACCTTAGAGTGGAAATGTGCATGTACCTCAGGATCTGGCCAGGTTTATTACTGAAGTTACATAATTGAACCCAATTCGTTATTTTAACAATGAGTGAATGATGGTAATAGAGTTTAGTAGTTTAGGAGTAGATCAAGGAGTGGTAGGATAGCCTTATTTTCAAGAAGTTTACACTAAAATTCTTTGACAATCATGGACGCTTATCTATGATGCAAGTGGAAGAATATCAGACCATATTTAAAAAAGCTTCCTTCTGGCACAAGCATTTAGCATTACAAACATAGCAATAAGTAGGCCTATTGCTAAGCTACCATCACCATTCTTTCCATGAAATTGTCATGGAGTTCAGACTTATCGCTCGACAACACTTGCAATGGCTGATTAGAGGTTTTTCGTGATATACAGATCTACAAAGACCGACAACCTGAATCGACCTATGTTATCGTACAGAAGACTTCTTATTACATCGATACATGTGATTCACAAGTGTTATATTGTGTACTCTTTATGTTATGTAATGCAATTTGTAATATGTTGTACTAGTATGATGTGCATGTATTGAATAAATACAATTAAAAAATGCTAAAAAACAAAAAAGTTATACCTCAATACAAAGTGACTTCCTTAAATTTATAATTACCCTGTGTTACAGGAGGCAGTGTCGTCAAGATCGCCTGTGTTCTAAGTCCGTTTCTCTGACTGTACAGATTGAACGTGAAGTCTGTGTTCTCAGGGAGATTCAGGATCTGTTCTAAGATCCTATCAGGAGGCAAGTCTATACTGGTAGGGACACCCCCTGGGGTCGTTGCGTAGGAAATCACGTACCCATCGACATTCCCTGGACTATTTGTCCATGTAAGTTGGTAGCTGGTGGTTGATGTTCTCTGAACGGTTGCATCTGATGGAGCAGGTGGAAGCACTGTATAGGACGAACATGGACGAAGGGTAATCATCATCAATACTGATTTGTCACATGACTCGTTATTGACCCCTATCAATTCTGTAATTAACATCTTTCCAAGTGATACGATCGTGAGCCAACTGGTTTCCTTTCTCTGTAACCTACATGTACTACTCTTCCATGAAAAGTAACCATGCGGTCAAAACAATCATAAAATTGTGTCACAATAGCATTCACTTTTGGAAAGATCCAACCTACAGATTATGCACAAATAAATAAATGATATCCTCATGGGATCCTTACTTGTAGTAGAAACAGACGAAATAGTATCGAAAGATGATTGGAAGTGGTAATTATGTACTGAAAGGTTTAATAAAATATAAGTATATTTACAATTCAAGGAGATCTTAGGGGAAGTACTATCAGTCGTCAAAAATCTGAAGTTGATGGCAATGTTTCTAGTTGATTCTAATCATAATGTTGTTAACATGAGGGGGGCAGCCTTCGAGACCGACGGCAGACGAGATTTTAGTATTGGATATCTATTTCATAGGTCTCATTAGTCGTTTGGAACTTTCGGTATTTTGGGGCAAAGGTCTCGTTGAATTTCAGTCTGGATTAGTATACGCTATTCAAGTTATGCTCTAGGTAA